TATTGAGCTGAATTTTGAGCAGAAACACAACTTAAAGGTTATTAAATATTGCTGTGGAAATTATGACTAGTCTCACAAAACAAGACTTGTTTCAAGCTACTCAAATGTGTAACGAACTAAAATAATAATAACTGGAAACAGCCTTTGAAAAACAAACAAACAAAAAACATGGAGCATATTCTTTTAAAAATTGATAATACCATATATTTAGCTATTGTTATGAAACATGATTAATAATTTTATTTTAGTTACAAGAGTTTTTTTTTTCCCACCATGCAGTCTAACCCTATCAGAATAGATGTTTGCGTCACAACACTCCAGTGAAACACTGAATTAAAGTGTGAGTGTGCAGTAATCTCAATCTTTTTTAGTGAGCTCTTGCCAGTACCAGTGTTTTCTTTACTGCCTGTTTATTCACTGCCACAGCAGAAAGATATTTTTCACTTATTCCATTATCTCATCCTTCGAGGATAGCAACATTTACCTATATTATCCAGACTGGATTAGGTGAACTCACAGATCACATGAATTGTGTTTTTAACGGGGGTTCTGATACACAGGTGCACTGCCACTAATGTTACATTTCTTATTCGTGGCTACTGTGAAAAAAGAAAAGTGTTATATGGAACTTTTAAAATTTTCAAAAGTATATAAATCTTACTTGACCTCCCGTCACCGTTCATTCAGATTGACCCTTACCCAATCCGGGGACGGTGACCTGTCCGAAACCCACTATCATTTGTGTCAAACATTAGCCTACATTAGATCCTTCAGTGCTTCTCTTATTACAGCACCGCTTTACCACAAAAACCTGGGGCCTTATTCACAAAAACATTTGATACCACTAAGGTAATGCATATCCTAAATAGCAGTACAAGTTCTTGGGTAAGGAGTTTCCTCTTATAACCTATTCACAATGCTGCTGAGACCAACTTGTACTAAGGAACAGAGAGAAGTCTTGACTAAGATAAAGGGTGAGGTTGACCTCGTTGCTATGATGTCAACATGCTTACTAACTATGGCCTCAGTGATTGGCTGATGGGGGAGGGGTCTCTGTCAGTGATTTAATCATAGAATTATTGTTGAGAGAGGTGTCAGATTCAAATAAAGATTTTAAAATGTAGGCTAAGTGTCACTTATTAAAGTATACGTTCAGCTAATTGTCAGCCTCTTACATCTCGAGAGACTGCAGAATTCAAGTGATAAAGTTCAGGAGGAGGATGTTCAAATGGTCTGAAGGCATACATCCAGCCAACTCACCTACAGTTGGCAGTTTTCAGTTTTCAGCTCCTCGCTCTCCGCTGGTTCCTCCCAGCCGGGATACGGGGGAGTACAATGGGTTTGGATTAAATCCTGAGCTCGGAGCGCTCGGTCCACCCAGAAAGCACACCCAATACTCTTTACTCTTTTACTCTATTAGATCATTTGTTAGTTTGAACTCGTGAAAACAACTGCCACAGGACATTATTTTCTTTTTATTTATTTATTTTCAAAGATTTATTTTTGCCGTTTTTGCCTTTTTATTGTGATAGGACAGTGAGTAGCACTAGCAGGAAGCGAAGTGGAAGACAGAAATGGGGGGACAGGATAGGGAAAGGTCCACGAGCCGGAACTCGGGTCACCCGAGCTGCACAAGGCTATCGGCGCAGACGATGGGACATTTTTTGGGACAGGATGGGACAACTTTACCGCAATATTTTATTCTCAATCATTCAATGCATATTTTTGCCTGTACATAAATGAACCTTTATAATAGAATCTGATCTGTCATCGCAGATTAAAATGGATAAATCAAAATAACTATTGCATTTATGCACCCAAGGCTCTATCACATTGCCTCAATGGTGTACAGTGTCCTTTTGGTGGATTGCGGAGGCAGATCCGGCAACAGACATTTTAGGATTGTTTTTGATTTGGTCTTAGTGACTAACTTTTCACAGATGTAGGAGCTGGTTTAAGTGCAAAAAAAATTTGTAGTCCTAAAGTTAGGACTGACCAGTAGTTTTAAGAGTTTCTCCTAAATCGGCAAGTTAGGAGCTACTTTTATCCATAAGATGTTTTGTGAACACGGCCCCTGATTCCCAAGCTGCTCTTTGCATGAATGTCTGTCAGTGGGAGTCGTGTATCTATCCTTTAAGGTAACTCCGAACACTTTTTATTAGGGAAGAATGAAGACACTATGTGGGAACATGACCAGAGCAAAGGCAGGAGACACTGCAATGGGCTCTATGCACGGCGATATTTCCGGTGAAGGTCCAAGGATCCTTCCGCCGATCGTAGAGTCCAATGCTATACCAAGAATTTATATTGGTTTTTATACTCTATTGCTATACTAAAGAAAAGTTAGTCACAAAAACAGACAAAACAGACACCCCTCATTTTGTTTATGGTTCTTTGTTTATTATATTAAATAAACATAACTATATAAAAAATTACATCTAAACGTATTAAAGTTTCGTTTCAAAGACGAGAGGACAGTAAATTTTGAAGACTCTGCCATAATCCCGTTTTCCTCGGTTTTCCTCCGCTTTAAATCTCCCCAACCGGAAACGCAAGAGCATCCTTGCATCAAACGCGGAAGTTATGCGTGCATATAGCCCATTCAGAGTTTTATTGACTTCGAAACTTGCACACAAAAAAACAATCAAAACTAACATAAAACAGAGACACTAAAGGTGACCCTCCTCACAGCAGTCCCTCACCAGAACTGACTTCAACAGACAAAACAAATCCTTTTATACTCAGGGGTTCAACCATTTCATGGTAATAGGTTCATATAAATATACACACATACATACTGTATATTAAAAAACAATACATTAATCAACTTAAATGAAAATAAAATTCAAAATACATATTACAAGGAAAAAAATACAAATAATAAACAATACATTTCTGAATACTATCAAAATAAACACAATGAAACAATGCCTGCTCATACTGGGAAATAGACTGCCTACACTACCCATTATTCCTTGGGATGCCATAAAATGAGGAACAGGAAGACCGCACTTCCTCTTAAACCCCATCGCTGCAGCCATGAACAGACAAAAGATACGGTTTGAAAATGTGGATTTAATACTGATATTGTTCATATCAATTCTAAATAAAGAAAATAAATAACACTCTTGGTGTTCTTTTCATCCTTCTAATGTGCACCTTAGACTAGAAAAGTGACCAAAATCATATTTAAACAAACAATGAGAAACATAAACAAACATTTATACAAATAATATAAACCAAGCAAACACAGGGCATTGCAGTTAGGGGTAACTTATAACATCGTCACACACTATTATCAGGTGTTTGTGAAAGACCACATACTTTTACCATGAGCCACAATCCTTCGAAAGTGTGTTACACACTGGTGTTTAGCATTCATTCCCCATACATCAACATAGTGTCGGCCCAGATCCGGCTCACATCTGGTACAACCGTCGCTGTCTGGGTTCCCACTTATGTTGCTGGTCCGAAAATCCAAGTGAGCTCGACAGTGTTTTCTTCAGACGTCACACTCCACACATGTCCAGCTCCAGCATAACAGGAAGCTGGAAAATAGCTTGGACTGTCCTCTTGAGTTTCGCCAGCATTTCAGCACACAATACATTATTATCTACAACAATAATGTTTGCGCTGGGTTCTGCTGCAAACTCTGTTCTGTTCCTCCTGACGATTGAGGTCTGTATGCAGCTCTCACAGGCACTGTGAATAGAAACTTCCTTCAGGAGATCCAGACGCGATGGACAGCTGAACTTGCTCCGTTTATCGGTCACAGAGATAGAGACATTCACAACAGCTCAACAAGAGTTCAGTTTCTTTAAACACACAGATAAAGGCATGCACAACAGCTCAACAAGGGGTTGTGCTTGTCTGAACCAGTGTCCTTGTTCTGTTTGACTAGAAACTGAAACTAGTGTCTAACTTTGGCAATACAAATGTTAAGTTAGCTGAGACATGGCACTTGAACTAATAGTACCTTTTAAGTTTTAAAAAGAAAGATTGGAACTAATAGATTGAAAGAAATTGTGTGTGTGTGTGTTTGTGCTTGCGTGTGCTAAAGACTTTAAAAATGAGTTGCTATGAGATCCAGGCAGACAAGCAATGATTATGTCAGAGATCAAATTTTAAAAAGCAATAACAAATTTATTAACAAAAAAATTAAAGAGACAAACAAATGAATACGTAAATATTAAAATTGTAATAGCAAGTAAGTTTCAAACAAAAATAAGATCTATCTTATTCTATAGTTTAAAATAAAATCCAAAGTATTATCTAACAGATGAAGATTGTGAAGATCAAGAGAAAGAAGGAGCCAAATGAAGTAAGATATTTGCAGGATGAAATGAGAGGTAAAAGAGAAGAAAGAAAAGCAGAAACACACACACACATCTATCCGATTCACATGCTGCATGCTTCTGGATTGTGGAGGAAACATTGGCAGAACATGTATATAAAAATGATCTGTGAATTTATTTTAGATTGATATTAAACGTTTGATAATAGGGATTTGTGGATGCAGCAATTTGAAGAAAAGAAGAAAAGTCTCTTCTGCTCACCAAGGCTGCATTTATTTGATCAAAATACAGTAAAAACAGTAATAATGTGAAATATTATTACAATTTACAGTTTTCTATTTTAATACATTTCAAATGGCGAAGCTGAATTTTCAGCAGCTATTACCCCAGGCAGTGTTACATGATCCTTCAGAAATGATCAAATTAATAGATGACTCATGATAACATATTTTACAAACATGGCTCCTGATGACATTAGACAGACTCGTTATTGAACATTTGATGGATATTTCCTTCAGAAGCTGGTACAGAAAAAAACTATAACAACAAGTCATTTAAACATAGGCTAATATGTCTACCAATACCACAGTTAACAACATGTCTTCTGAACTTCATGTTCAAAAATGCTCGACTGCTTCTTTGGGTTTTACAAACCAGCCCAAGGTTGCTCAAAATGCAACAAAGAATGCATCGATATTAATATATTCCAGTTTTGAGGGACTCTTTGAATCACTCTGATGGCTGCTTGAGAGTCTCTGACATGTGGTCTTTTGAATCTTCTTCAGGCTGAGAGGTCATGGCTGTTGTCTGGTGTGCAGGGAGTGTGTTGAGGATATCGGTCTGGGGATTCGACTGCAGGTTGGGATGGGACTGGGACTGGGACTGGGGCAGGAGGCTTCTTAACCCTGCGAACAGCTGGTTGACTAAAGCCTCCATAGAGCGTGTGTGTTCAGCCAGGACTCTGGCAATGAGCCGTTCCTCTCGCGCGTGGTTCTGTTCCCACTGACGCTCCAGCCACATGTTCTGCGTCTGCTGCATTCTTTCAAGAAAGTCTTGATACTGGGTGTGCAATGCACTGCAACAAGTCCTTCTGCGCCTGAACATACCTGAACAAAACACAGAAGAGAGAACAGAATGTATGACTAAGCTATTTGGACAAATATTATCATTTCATGTTAACAAATATGTATTGTTGAAGTCAACAATATCGAGCCAAATATTAGGGTGAAGTTGTTATTTTTTAGCCTGGTTAAAACCAGACCATTCTCAGTTGTAACTGAGTTATGGTCTGGCAAAGCGTCTTAGCCAAATCATTTCCAGAGGGGCGTCACCAACGGACGTCGCGGATAGACCTAAAACCAATCAGAGCGATGAAGGAGATGACGTATGCAGAGCGGCCGAGTGTTGTTCTTTGCTCGGTTTTTAAAGGAGAACTCCGGCGCAAAATGAACCTTTGGTCTAATTACACATTGTTACCTAGTCAACCGTTATCTGAGATTTGTTTTCATGATTATCGAATGTAAATAGTTTTATCTCTAAAAACAGTTTAGCCTATAAAGCTAGTATAACGCTAGAATATTGGGCATAGAGAAATGACAAATAAAAATCGCTTGTTAATACCACTAACAAGGCTCAAAATAGCCCCACACTAACACGGTAGCATAATGAGGGTCCCTACCTTCAAACCGAAGCATTGAGAACTTTGTCAGTGTCCAGACAGTTTAATAAGAAGATATTTTAAACATAAAGTCAACTTCGCGTATACAGACAGGAGCCATCTTTGAAAAACAGTCTCTACCAGTCGATATACGAACGCCGATCCAAGCCTGCTGTTCGCGCTCACCTTATCACAACTTATAGCTCGTTCACATCTCACCAGCGCACTTGGATCGGCGTTCGTAGATCAACTGGTGGAGACTGTTTTTCAAAGATGGCTCCTGTCTGTATACGCGAAGTTGACTGTATGTTTAAAATATCTTCTTATTAAACTGTCTGGACACTGACAAAGTTCTCAATGCTTCGGTTTGAAGGTGAGTTGACTAGGTTGACTAGGTAACAATGTGTAATTAGACCAAAGCTTCATTTTGCGCCGGAGTTCTCCTTTAACTAAAAGGAAACGTTCAAATGGCTTAAAACAGACGCGATAGCTGATTCGAACGAGTGATGTTCGACGGCGGCATCCATCTTTGTAATGTAGGCTACAAAATCTGCTTCAAAATCCCAGCGCTGTCGTCATCGTGTAAAGCCCGCCCCAACGTTTCTGATTGGTGCCGGGATTTCGACGGATTGGAAATGGGCTTGAATGAGCTCTTTGCCAGACTAACTTTCAGAGCAAATCTAAATATGCCGGAAGTTGTCTGGGTTTTCCCAGGCTGAAATGGCTCAAAACTCCAAAAAATAACTATTTTTTGGAGTTTTGAGCCATTTCATTTTTCCTTTCTTCTGAATGATATCAAGAACAATATGTCATTAGATCATCCACATTATTCATGAACTGTGCATCATCACTGTGCTGATTTTTACAAGTTTGAAAGTGTAAAACAGTGGAGATGTACTGTATAAGTGCTATATATAAATAAACTCACCTCGTCTACATTCAATCTTAATGAGTTTATTCATATAGCACAAATGTTACTGCCGGCCAGTTATTGTTATAGTTTTGTTGTGGTCTTGCACACCAGCATCCCAAGCTGGTCCCAGTGTGTTGTAAACTAGCAAGATTTACGATTTTAGTCTAATGGATGTCAGGATACAAGTTCTGAACTACTTTTGGCTTGCAGACTCTTTTCAGTTCAGGGTTGCATCCTCCTCCTGGATTCCTGGTTATTTACATTTTGTTCTTCTATTTACGATTTGTAACTTTACATTATAAATGAACCTAATCATTAAAACAGGCATGCCACCTATAATGTTGATATTTACAGCTATAGGATGAGATGTTCATCAGACCTTGAGCTGGAGGCTGCTGGGAAGAGGACGGCTGTGAAGATGTCATGCTGTCTGTGGACATGAATGGCTGTGTGGGAGTGGAGCTTTCTGTAGAGGTGGAGCTCTCCTGGGACGCTTGTGTGAGGACGAGGGGTTCATTCTCCGTTTTCACTGACTGGACTTCCTGAATCCCACCTTCCATGTCATCCACTCCATTATCTTTAACAGACAAACACGTAAGGTCAGAAATCCATAAATCTTTCACAACTACTCACTGCTTCTTCTGAAAGGGGTCGTCTTCTCCAGCTGAGTACTGTTACTTTTATTGCACTGCATTATTATTTCATGTCATGTTCATTCATCGCTTGTCTGTTTTAAAAATGAGTTTAGGATCGTAAAGGATTTTAAATGAACTTTTATGATTGATTATTTATTATTTTCTTTATTATACCACTTTGAATGTAACTGAAATGTGCTATATGAATAAACTCACCATGTCTACATTAAATCTGAATTTTTATTCATATAGCACATTTCACTGCTGGCTAGTTATTGCTATAATAAGTGCACATTTTCAGAGAAAACTATCAAAATGTCTAGAGTTGTATTTTTGTTTAACATTATCAATATAAAACGCTATATAGCAGTACCTATGAGTAGTATGGTGACATCGGATGGTAATAACACATGTACAATACTTACTTTGTAAGTTACTTCATATAGGGTGAATTCAGGTTGAATATGACACTTTTCCCCACTCATCTCAATGGCAAAAAGTGCCCCAATCAACCTGAATTCACCCTTCTAAAGATATGAGAAATGCCCTGGTATGGTTGTAAAACAAACCAAAACATGATACTACCCTGGTACTTTTTCTTTTAGTTTTGTTTTACTTTGAAGCATACATGCATGCTGGTTACAGAGCCACTCACCATCACCATCACCATCATCATCATCATCACATTCACCATCCTCAAAAGTGAAGCATTTGCTGTCCGACAAAGGGGATCCGTCTTTAAAGTCGATGTCAACTCCAGTTTGGTTTGTCACAACAACCAAAGGTCTATGTCCAAAAATTTCTTCCATTGTATCAAAATGTTTAAATGCATTGTTAGAGCTGCTGGGGTTTTGTTTCTTGGCCTTATAGTAAATGGATTTTAGGGTTTTCCAGCGATGTTTGACTTGATCACATGAGCGCCTAAAACCTGCCTCCTTATGTCTAGCGCAAACCTTCCTGAAGAGCAGACTGTTGCGGTGCTTGCGTCCGTCCCTGTATCGGTCTATGTGCATCTCTTTTAAACTTTGTAAAAGGACATCTGTCTCTTCCTCGGTCCAGAAATGTGTGCTTCTTCGATTGCTTGACATCTCTGCCTGGATCTCGTAGAAACCTAACTTAGATATAAATGAATATCCCGTTACAGTAATAGGGTATTAAGAATAAGACGTTCAGATGAGACAAAATTCAGACTAACGCAAATTGTTTGATTCGGGTTCTAGTAACGTGTAGAACGGAATGGTGTGCATGAGGCTGCGGATTTAAAAACACAGCCAATCACAAGGCTGCATCTTGCCCAACAGTCTCTGGAATGGCCCACTCTGATTGGTTGTATGCTTTTGGCTCGAGCCTCATAGGTTGGTTAGGCTGTCAGTCAATTGTCGGCCATAATGGCCAACCCTTCTGATGGCAATCGGATTATCGCTCTCACATGACGAATATAATCCTACACGTAAAAATATGAGAAATGTGACCCCAATACTTGCGCATGTAAACGTGGTCAGTAAATACTCCTTATTTAGAAAGAATTATAAAAAGGAAGTGCAATGTCGCTTATTGGTAAAAAATACATGGCATGACTTTTGTCTTTCATCAGTATTATTTACTTTTTGTTCATTCACAAACATTTGACATTTTGATATATCAACAAAATTATAAAACATTTAGCTTGTTCAGTATCGAGGTTATCGACAACTTCTGACCCATATGGACCCCTCACCAGATAAATGCTGCATGAAAATGCTCAGAATAGTAAGAAACATTGTCTTCCATTAATGACAATAAAAACCCCTCACATTATGATACACTAGTGTTGATCTACTTTCACTTGACCTGCATTCATGCGCATCGATATTTAATTATAGATTATGGATATAATTGTGGATTTACAAATAAATATTGGAATATAGCCTATATTCCTATAACTTTTATTTAATATTGCAGTGCGGCTGTGACTTTTATTTTGAAAACATCATTGCCACGTCCACTGTTGTCATTTAATAGCTTCAAACATGCTGATTGCGTTAACTGTGTTTATAAGCTGGTCACTGACACATTCTAATTATTTATAGTTATTTATGTTCGACAATAGGGAAAAAAAATATCGAGGATATCCGTTGCTTTTCGCGAGTCATTGTCCTGTTATTTCACGAAGTTGCATCTGGCTTCACGCGCGTGTAGATGTAAGTTAAACATGGACAGGCCGGACGCCACATTTACTCTTGCTTATATGGTATTTGCTTTGTGTTTTGTTTTTACGCCGAATGAGTTTCGCTCTGCTGGTTTGACGGTTCAGCACATGTTCTCAGAGTGGCTGGGCAGTGAAGACATCAGCTTCATTCAGCACCACATCAGGCGAACAACACTCACGGTGCTCTTCCACTGCTTCCTGCCGCTCGGTATGACACTTTCTGTAATGGCTAAAAATAATTGATGTAGTATGTAATGCGTATGTATTAACAAGCATACAGTTTGAAGTCCTCGAGCTGTTAATGCTCTGCCAAAATTCGCAGCATAGACAACAGTTGCTATATTATTTTCACACCACACAGATTCCTTAAATAGCCCATATTATGGTCACATGACCGTGTCACGTGCTAATTTAGATCATCTGTGCATATTCTCCCTATACAAAATGTTGCATACTGTACTCAGTTTACACACTATCCTGATTATTTTGAAGCGCGGAAGTAAGGCGCGAGGCTTCAGATTTATCAGCCAGTTATCGTCTAGTAATGCTGCAAAATTAGTCAGATTTATATTCGCAACGCACCGTTTATCTGGGGGACGGAATGTGGGGAATGTTCAGTAAATAAACAAAATCATATTCATATTCAACAGAAATTCAGTCAACAGAATCATAATTTGCTGATTGGATGGGATAGCAGTTCTTATCCCTAAATTGATCAGTTTATTGAATATTTACATTTTAATTTTATTCAGACTGAGCAAAAATATGCAAATTGGTGCAGATGCTGTTATTTATATGGACAAGTAAGATTCAATTCTGATAGCCTGTAATGCAAATCAATGAGAGATCTTTATGACAGTTGCATAGAGAAATTAAGCTTTCTCTGATTGTTTCGAGTACACTGCCATCTTGTGGCAGGTCAAAACATCATAGCAGCCTCCGTTCTTTGATTCATTGATTAAAGGTACAATATGTAATATTTTTGTATTAAAATACAAATATAACACTTGCGCAGCGTTATATATTTCGTTCAATTGTGTTATTACATTATCCTAAATGTTTCCAAGACTAATTCTCAATTTGAATAGTTTAAGCACAGGTAAAAGCCTGACAACGGTCAATGTAATGAAATGTAACAATAATTATAATAACACTAATTAAAATAATACCAACAGAGCTGTTTGATGCAAATAAATGATGCACTAATTATTTTATGGTTTTATACTGTTTATATGGCAGAATGTATGGTAATGTAATATAGGCAGGCTATATATAAAAATGTTAGTAAATGGACTTGAAGTTCCATAAACCCTAAGGATTTACTCTAGTCTGGGTTCAAACATTTCAACACACAAAGTGAAGCATTCACGTGACAGGAAAGAAAGTGAGGCTACGTTTTTCATTGATCGCATGTTTCTCTGAAAACTACGCGCTTCGGATCGGAACGCTGTGAATTTGATAGATACACACTTTGAAGCTTTTGTCGTTTGTAACATCACTATATAACAGTATAGCTACTTAGATAAAATGCATTCACGTATCAGATGTCACTCTATATCTTCCAATAATATATATTTATATCATTTAAATACTTAGTTTTATGATCTAAGCTCTGTATTTTTCAAATCATATAATGCAATGATTGAGAGATGAACAAATACACATTCCTCAAAAGCCTGATGGATCATATTTGATGCTTACATTTATATATAAAAAATCAAGTGAAACTAAGTTGCTTCAGTCCAGTAAACATTCATCTTGAAATATTACTAACAATATACAAATTATTCTTACGTTTACTTAATAAAAATCAGTAAAGATTTCAAAGTAAAAAGACACATGAACCACGACCTGAAGGGGGACGTTTTTACAATTACACTAAAAGGCCTCTTACTTGCTAAAAAACTGTCAATCAGACAACATGTAGATTGAAAAGTAGATTGTGTTCAAAATATTTTTCATAAAGTTAATAATAGAGGCCTTAGAAATGTGTGTATCAAATATGATAGGCTTATATAGGGTTTGTTTTTCCTCACTTGAACAGAGTGTTTCTCATTGCTCACTGTGTGATATAACACCATTATACTTGTGTTGCAGGATACTTCATAGGAATGTGTTTTGCAGTTCAAGAACAGAATCTCGTGTACATCCATCATGCAAGTCAGGGATGGCAAATATACTTTGGACTGTCGCTGGCCATCCAGCTTTTGAGTTGTGCACTGGCCTTCTATTGGTCCAGACGTGGATGGGCGAATCACCCGATATGTCGAGCGCTCAACACACACGCTTTGCCGCGCTCCAGCTGGAGGGCCGTCGCCTCGTCCATCAACACAGAGTTTCGCCGCATCGATAAGTTTGCTTCCGGTTCCACGAGCGCGAGGGTGATCGTCACGGACACCTGGGTGATGAAGGTCACGACGTACTCCCTGCATGTTGCCCTGCATCAGGACTGTCACCTGACCGTCACAGACTCCAAACATCACAGCCTGTCTCCAGAGTTAAACACGCCGGTGCAAATCGTCACCATCACTGTTGCCAGTATCAATCCCAGAGTCAAGCCTTTCGACATAAGGTAATTTCCAGTGTTGGGTGTAAACGCATTGAGTTACGTAAATCAGATTACTTTTTCAAGTAACTAGTAAATTAACGTTTTACCTTTAAATGAGTTACGTTTTCAAATAAGTTACTTTATTTTTCCATTTTTATTGACTGACAGCTCTCCTGTCCTCAGAAGTCGTGAGTAGATTGATGGTTATTGTAGTTCAAATGTGAGCATTTACTCATTTCAGTGGCAAAAAAACAGATTCAGAATTCCTCAAAAGGAATATAATCAGTGAAATGCAAAATCAGAATAGTACGCAAACCTCCAATAACTATATTATGTTAAACAAAACAAATATTTTTGTGCATTTAATCTCCCTTTATTGACCAATGTACTTGTGCTGACCTTCGATGACTCCGTTAAACTGAAAGGATTCTTTGAGCTGCGCCCATATGCATGAATTTGCATTTCTTTCAACTTTATTATTTAAATTTTGGCCAAAATATAGAACTTAATGTAGGGCTGCACGATTAATCGCACGATATTGTTATGCGCATCTAATCAGTAAAGCCGGTTCCTTGATTAGTATTAAATCGCCTTCACCTGCTTTCAGATGGAGCGGCATTTACTACAAAGAGCCGTAGTTCACTGACAAGCTGAGCCAAATCGCATTAAAATCGAGGACATATCGCCAACGATATTTAATGCGATATGGCTCAGCTTGTCAGTTAACTACGGCTCTTTGTACACAGCAAAAACTCAGTGTTAAATGAACACACCTGGGAGTGTATATGAGTCCACACTCAAGAGTGTTAAAGTTAATGAGATAATTAAGTGATTAATTGAGTGATGATTGAGGATTATTGAAGACACCTAAAGCAGAATCACTGAAGGAGAAAACCGGAATTTCAGGTCACCATTATGGAGATGAGTGTTTGCTTTATTTGGGCTCTTGACCCTTATATTAATAACTTTAGATTTTGTTCGGCTGTTGTATCTGAGTTATACCTGCCAGATGAACAAAGAAAAAAAAAAAGATCTAATGGTCTTGGTTATAATATGACATTCATCATTTGAGCTAATTGTTTGTGATTTATGCTGTTGGTTACAGCACAACTGAGATTCTGCATAAATATCCAGAATTTGAGATATAATATAAAGGATTTCTTAAAAGTTGTAAAAAAAAAATCTTTCTTTTAGGCACACACAGATATCAAGATTCAGTCAATGCATCTCAACAATGGTGACGAGCAGAATATTCAATTAGGAAAAGTAAATTACACAATTCAGATCATAATTTATTCATACCGCAATGCATGATGGGAGCCATTAATGAGTTGTGATTGGTGGCAACAAGGATTATTATTGTCACCACGGTTGAGATTCACAGGCTGATTATTGATGTCTGTGTTTCTAAATAAATGCATTTGAAAGTGATTTGATCAGAACAATTTTTATTAAATGTTTTGGATTACAAGAAAAATACAATTATCATATGCTGTAGAACCACTAAACTGTTGCTATCAAGTTAAACCAGATCATCTGAATGAGTTTCATTTTTCAGATCACAGCATGATTATGTCAGACATAACCAACACTATCAGATCACACTTGTCTTTGTTTATTTGACTGTAATAAATCAATAACAGCAGACAAACAAAATTTAAACTTAAAGAATAAGGATCAAGAGCCCAACTAAAGCAAACACTGATCGCCATAACGGTGGCTTACAATTTTAGATTTTCTCCTTCAGTGATTCTGCTTGTTATCATCAGGTGTCTTCAATAATGCTCAATGATCACTAAATGAATCACTTAATTATCTCATTACCTTTAACACTCTTGAGTGTTAATTTAACACTCATATCTGCATCATATCTCCATCTGAAAGCAGGTGAAGGTTATTTACTACTAATCAAGGAACCGGCTTTACTGATGAGATGCGCATAACAATATCGTGCGATTAATCGTGCAGCCCTAACTTAATGTATAGAACATTTGCCCCAAAAGAGTTTTGTTTTAAAAAAACAAAACACACAAGCCCAGCCCAGGTGAGAAAACGTAACGCAAAAGTTAGTTAAAAAGGGAGTAAGGCAATATTGTAATGCATTACTTTTCAAAGTAACTTTCCCCAACCCTGGTAATTTCATATTTAGGAAATGGATGTTTTCTTCGGTGATGTGAAGGGTCACTTTCTCTTGCAGGCTGAAGTCCACAGAGTATGTTGAGCTGCAGGAGAAACTGCACGCACCCATCAGAAACGCCACCAATGTTGTCATCCATCTGACCATGAGTGAGCTGTTTTTGGAGACCTTTAAGTCATATGTGAGGCTGAATGAAGTGCACAGGTGTCCGAGTGGCCAGGTGAGCACTGAAACTATCAGCACACACTTTACAGCAGGGTTTCTCCGCTTCTTTTATAGCCGTTTCACAGACGACTTCACTCGAGTTTGAAGACTTGAGCGAAGGCAACCGGCTCCAAGAAGAAGCACAAGAATAGGGCAAAATGGAAAATGACAAAGATTCAAGACTGTACTAATTCATACGATGAAACACTGCCAATGATGAAATTATTAATCATTTTAATTCATAATTAAATTAAAATTATCACCCACAGCATCACAGCATTTATTCCACATACACGCTTTTTTTTTACATTTCAACTTAAAACTATCAATTAACATCAAATCGAGTAACAACAGTAGTGTATTTATAAATGAACATTAATGTTCATTGTTTGAAAGCTAATGCATTGACTGTTTGGACCTGTTATTGTGTAATCTATTGAGCAATGGTGGTTCTGCATAAAACGATGTCATATCTGAATGGAGACCGACTTAAAGGAGAACTCCGGCGCAAAATGAACCTTTGGTCTAATTACACATTGTTACCTAGTCAACCGTTATCTGAGATTTGTTTTCATGATTATCGAATGTAAATAGTTTTATCTCTAAAAACAGTTTAGCCTATAAAGCTAGTATAACGCTAGAATATTGGGCATAGTGTAATGACAAATAAAAATCGCTTGTTAATACCACTAACAAGGCTCAAAATAGCCCCACACTAACACGGTAGCATAATGAGGGTCCCTACCTTCAAACCGAAGCATTGAGAACTTTGTCAGTGTCCAGACAGTTTAATAAGAAGATATTTTAAACATACAGTCAACTTCGCGTATACAGGCAGAAGCCATCTTTGAAATACAGTCTCTACCAGTCGATCTACGAACGCCGATCCAAGCCTGCTGTTCGCGCTCACCTTATCACAACTCATAGCTCGTTCACATTCTCACCAGCGCACTTGGATCGGCGTTGGTATATCGACTGGTAGAGACTGTATTTCAAAGATGGCTTCTGCCTGTATACGCGAAGTTGACTGTATGTTTAAAATATCTTCTTATTAAACTGTCTGGACACTGACAAAGTTCTCAATGCTTCGGTTTGAAGGTAGGGACCCTCATTATGCTACCGTGTTAGTGTGGGGCTATTTTCAGCCTTGTTAGTGGTATTAACAAGCGATTTTTATTTGTCATTACACTATGCCCAATATACTAGCGTTATACTAGCTTTATAGGCTAAACTGTTTTTAGAGATAAAACTATTTACATTCGATAATCATGAAAACAAATCTCAGATAACGGTTGACTAGGTAACAATGTGTAATTAGACCAAAGGTTCATTTTGCGCCGGAGTTCTCCTTTAATTGCATCATGTGCAATGCTTTATGGGAGTCCATGGCTGTGTTTGAAATCGCCCCCTATACCCCTATAGTGGATGGTATATAACATTCACTATTCCCTACTTTACTCACTAATATAGTTCACTTGAAGTAGTGAATGAAAACAAGTGAGTGAATTCTGACGCTTTTGAATAGTTTCATAGTAACTGGCACCAGTGAAGAGATTTATCTTGAACTCTATCATGGAAACTAGCATGTAGAAACCTTAATTAAACTGTTCAATAGTCAATTAAAAAGGTATTTATGATATTATGCTGTAGTACCCATATTGGACCAGCAGCGGTTTGGAAAATGGATGGATGGAGGATTCAGCTGCAGGCGACACCATTATGGGTATTACACTCGTTATTGTGGTGCATTATGGGATTGAATGATTTGATAACGTCCACTATGGTTTTGGACACCACTACAAAGGGCTGTCCTCTTAAATAGTGCCCTATTTAAGGGTATAGGGCAGGGGTCTCAAACTCAAATTAACTGGGGGCCGCTAGAGGTAGAGTCTGGGTCAGGCTGGGCCGCATCAAGTATTCCACAAAAAAATAGTATTCAAGTATTCCAAAAAAGGAGCACAACTGATCCAATCTTCTCAATATTTATTAACGTTTCTTCTGAACAGTTCCTCTGAATTTGAACATTCCTTTCTGTACATGATTGGTTCTTCATGAGCTGTCCTTCTGACAGTTGAAGTTCATTTTACAAACTTTCTTTGTCTATAACACATATTTGTGATATTTATATTTGCTTATGTCCTTTTTATTTTCTTTATACAACACATTAATGATATTGAATGTTTTTTTTGGAAGGCACATTTCCTTTTATTATACTTAGAAAAACAATTATTGCTTTTGAAATACAAATATTTGCAGTCATGTCTGCCTGTCTTATTGAATTCTTTGTATAGTGTCTCAAATTACTGACTGCACAAATCAAAGCAAACCTTCTTATGAACCTGTTGGACACATATTACAAGCTCAAAGTGATTATTCTCACATTGTTTTAGAGCAGGGTCTCTCTCCAACACGTCGCTCGCGAGCTACCAGTAGCTCGTGGCCTGATTGGTGGCAGCTCGACAAGGGGCCGTTCACATATCGCGCTCACATATTTTGCGCGCTCAAGTTCGTAATTTTAAATGTAGGCGCGCGGCAAGCGCGCTCATAATTGAAGCGACGCGCTCATTTTTTCCAGGCGCAGTATGTTTGTACTTCGCGGTTGTCTATGACAACTATTGACAACAAACCCTCCGTAAGCTGTCACGAGACTATCTATGGTAGCTCATAAGGGAAATGTTTTTTTATTTTTTATTTTTTTTGCGGCACACGCAACGACGGGCCGCACTAACATTAAACTTTAATGTCAAGTAGGGGGCCACAAAATATCACCCCGCGGGCCGCAAATGGCCCGCGGGCCGCGAGTTTGAGACCCCTGGTATAGGGGGTGATGTCGGACACGTCCATGTTGTCGGTTTGTCTATAAATAGGAGTTTACCTCTGCAACCCAGCTATTAAAGTCTTTCAATGTCAAGCATTCAGGACGGGGGCAAATGAATTAGTCTGAATGAACCACACCACTTGGAGAATGTTTATTTTTACAACTGAAACGTAGTATGTTTTTTAAAAAGCTGTTTCCTGTTAGGAACTTGAACCATGTATTGGATGTATGCAAGTCAATGCCAACGTGAAGCTCGTGCGACTGTGCCAGGGAGACGGTGAGGCCGAGTGCCAGCAGTGCTACTGCCGCCCCATGTGGTGCCTCACCTGTATGGGCAAGTGGTTCGCCAGTCGACAGGACCAGCAGCAGCCCGAGACCTGGCTGAGCAGCAGAGTGCCCTGTCCCACCTGCAGGGCCAAGTTCTGCATCCTCGACGTGTGTCCCATTCACTGAGGAGATTTCATGAGGATCAGTGCCTTTACTGAACCTGCTATTTCTGAGCACTTCTATGTGCTTTTTCCAATCCTCTGTGCCTCCCAAGCTACAAACATATCTAATGACAGTGAATCACATGTCCCGTAAAAGCCAGAAGAAGCAATATATTTGATTTTACTTTAAAAAAAATAATATATATATATATATATATATATATATATATATATATATAATGCAGTGTGTGTGTGTATTATATGTATATATATACTGCATATACTGTATATATATATATATATATATTATTATTTTTTTATTATTACTATTTTTTTTTTTACAGTTATACAGATTACCCCTCCATTTCGCATTGCAATAGTGCAAAAATCAAATTTTTATTACTGTATGGGCAACAAAATAAATTATTTTTTTATGTATGTATATACCATCATTGTAATATTTGTTGCAATGATTTTACAGTATATTTATTTTCTTTGGAGGGAATGTGCCTAAGGTCTTAAAGATGTTGTCACAGTTGCAGGACTCAACACTACGGATGGGGTCAGGCCACTTCAAGCTCAAGTGTAATGTTACCAAGATAATGTTTTAGACAGACATAAATGGGATTTTGTTAAAATTGCAAAAATGTGTTGTGATATTCTGCTCTTGAAAGCATCAATAAGAATGTTGTACCACAGTGTGTTTATGAATCAGTGGAGTCACGTTATAGCTGTATAATTTCCAGTTTGTTAAAAAAAAATGTGTTAAGAACTTAACATCTAATTATAATTATAAATAGCTAGATGTTGAGATTCACATTTTTATAGCAGATATAAAAATGAATAGAATTGATGTAGCATACAAAATATTCACATAATTTTATCACATGCACCTTGCCTTATTTCAAACTTTGATAAATGGAGAAACTTCATGTTGCTTCATTCTTGTAATAAAGTGTGATGTTTTGGACACATGACTTCTTGTTTTTTGTTTTCTCTACTCTGTTAATTCTCTGGTGCTCTCAGCGCCAGAGTGTCAAATCTGAATGACAGATTTTTATTTAAATCAAATGAATGTACTATATTTTAGTTTGATAATGTTTTTTCTGTAAGATTTTGTATTTTTAGGGGATTTTATTAAACTAAATTATATCTACACAGTAGTTATTATGATCCATTTATTCACTTTTTGAGCATAAACTTGAAAATGAAATTTACATCAAACTGTCATAAATCTTGAATGCTTTGGAGTTGAGTTTGATCTCTTTTTAAAGACGACACTTGGCGATTATTACTGAAGTGATTACTGAAAAAAGTTTGAAAAGGTTCATTTAAAAGTTGTCAAATTTTATGTTTATTATTAGGAAAAGCACAAAAATACTTGATGCAATGAGATTGCAGACAAGCAGAGATCAAAGTTGAATAAGGAATAACACATTTATTAAGTAGAAAAAATAAACTTATTAATCAAATTAATCACGTATTAAAATTGTAATAACAAATACGTTTAAACAAAAATAAGATCTATCTTAGTCTAAAGTTTATAATAAATTCCAATGAGTAACATGAAGATTTCACAATCAGAGTATAAAAACGAAGATATGAAGAATGAAAGGAGAGGTAAAAGAGAAGGAAAAGCAGAAGTGAAGGGCAAAATAAGAGCAACGAATGTATTTGCAGGAAACTTACATCCTCCTAAACTTATGTTTTGGTCTGATAAGAAAAGGTTATAGATTTATCCATGATGTGTAACGGCTCGGCCGTCAAATGCTACGGTTGCAAAGACAGACAAAAATAGATTGACAAGGTTTTGACACCTTTAACAGAATATTACAGATATTAGACCACAGTTGGCATCGTTTACACACAATTCAAAATTGTTCACACTTATTTCTTATGATGTGATCATCAACTGTTTGAAATATGAGCCAGTTCAGAGAGCTCAGGGGACACAGGTGCGTGATATGAACGCGTGATGGAAACAATATCTGCAGAGATGGAAACACACATATTTTGATACAAAGGTAGGCTTCACGTAATCAATTCTTCGATCTTACAGCACTGAGACAACAAAGATCATACATCTGCAAATTCAGTAGAGTAGAAAATATATAAACGATTAAGGAAATCAATAACATGTAGAAGAAGAATAATGCAACATAAGGAATGTAACAACTAATGATGAATAAATAAATACATAGCTATCAATGACTAGAATTCATAAAGAAGAGATTAATCAGATTCATAAAATGAATAATTAAACCTCTGGGGTCCTTCGGCCCAAATGGACCCGAAGCATTTAAATATATATATTTTTTAAATCATAGCTTTATCGGAATAGTCCGAAATTTGGTGACTTTGTTGGTACTTGGTATATGAACACCCAAAATTTGGGGACAGGATTTGAATAGTCTAAGTGGTTGTAAAAAAATAGTCACACTCAGGACCTTCGGGTCCAAATGGACCCGCATAGAAAATGAATGGGAAATTGGCAAAAATGTGAAAATACAGAGTTTTTTTTGTGCGTACAATCTACAAATCAGCCACGATCCAGAAAAAAAGCACACAACAGTGAAGGGGTGAATCTATAAAACATCAAGAGTGCAAAACAGACACATCCACCCACACACACACACTTTTATACACATACACACTAATAAATTCAGATTACATATGGGTTTTGAATTTTTAAAATGCTCAATTTGTCCACCAGATGGCATCCATCTCATTTCAAAAATTGCTTTCATGAGGCCTAGGCTTGATGAAATACAGCTTTAAAAAAAAAAAAAAAAAAAAAAAAAATTCTATTATATTCAATGGGGAAAAAATGGGTCATAATTATTGCATTAATATTAATTATAAATCATTTTTATTTTTGAAATTATCTCAAAACACCAAAAAAGAAAAGAAAAAATATTATAAAAAACAAGTAAAAAAAAAAAAAAAGATGATTTTTTTTTAATAAATATTAATCCCACCCTTCCGGCCAATTTGGACCCGAAGGTCCTGAGTGTGACTCTGAAATTAAGGACCCCAGAGGGTTTTAATGAAAGAAATACATAAAAGACATTAAGCAAAATAATAAATTGATTAATTTTAAATACAAATAAGACTTTTTAAAAATTGTATATGAAATATGTATTTTCCAAAACACGTTTTACTCTAGATTTTTGGCTTTGACTTTCTTGCAGTTTTAAAGCTGTTTTCCAAATTTGAGGAAGCTTTTTTTAGGGCGCAGTACCAGAAAATTCCTTTCCCATTCATTTCCAATGCGCTGATTTTTGATCACGAAGCCTGAAAGTGGGACTTTTTTTCAGGACCATTTAACCTTTACGAATCATGTCCATTTTTTTGTGTCCACATAGTCACAAATAACCGAAGAGCACCATGGGCCAGTTGTTCAAAGATAAGCTGATCGGATTTTGGTTATCGGATTCACTGTAAAATATAAAATGCCATTTTTACGGTAAAATACCGGCAGCTGTGGTTGCCAGAACTTTACCGTCAAAAATATGGTACAGACGTTACTGGTTTTACAGACTTAACTTAAAATTTACAGTAATAAACCATATTTCATTATCTGATATAATGTTATTTAACCAACCTATTTATGTATTAATATCTGTTTTGTACCATTGTAATACACTGACAGACATCAATCAACACAGCAGTGATGAGAGTCACATGATAAATCAAAGCTCATCACAAGCAGCTCTTCCACAAGAAAGTTAAGATTAAAACAAATAAGCTGCAAAGTGTCAAACACTACGCACAAACACTAAACAGCATCATGGTAACACATGAAATTTAAAAAATGCAATAAACATTAATTTAACAACATTAAATGTAACATAAAACTCTAATGTACATAACTGATAAGAAAAGAACTAAGAAAACTAAGAAGAAACATAGTTATTTCAACAAAAATACATCAAATGTGAAGTGTCACGCAGGGAATTGTGGGAATGTCAATTTACGGTTTTTCACTGTAAAATTTAAATTATACAATGAGTTGTTCTTTTTCTGTTAACCAATTAACAGTTTTTCACTGTAGCATTTTTACAGTCTTTTACCGTTAAAATCACGATCATTTTTTACAGTGTTGGATCAAATCTTGAAAATGGGTTGTTCAAAAGGGAAAGAAGGATCTGGAATCACGGAATCCAAGTTTTAATCTGGATCAAGTTTGTGTTGCTCAAAACTTTTGGATAACTTTGATCCAAAAAAACTGGATTATCCTGATCCCAACTAGGATTTCAAGGTGGATTTCAGGAAGAAAATGTAGTAAAACTTTAAAATTGGTCAAATAATACATTTGTATCATTTAGTCTATATACTTTTATTTATATTTTGCACTTGACGTTGTAACAGTGATAAAGTAGATAAAGTAGACACATAGGCTACCAATTAAGCTATTCAGTATAGTAAAGTAAAAATAAAATAAAAATAAAAATAAAAATGATATTGTCCCCATAATAATCCCCCAAACAGATTTCAATAACAAACAACAATAATATATTATATATATTATAGCTGGAGCTGGTCTCTCCTCCTCAGATGAAGAACCCTGAACCCTTTATTGTGGTAACTATTGGACATTTAGCCTTTTTTTAAGATGTTTTCAAAATATCCAAAATGTATTTGTTAATGTATATTTGTTTTTTATTTGTTGTGGCTCAGATGAGGGGTCACAAAATAAATTATGAATGGAAGTGGATGTTTATGTTATTTTTGTGTTTTGTCTCAAAATAAGAACCACTTACTCTTCTACCTGTTCTTTACAGCTGGTTGCCCACATCGTGATATGTTGTCCCATTTAGAGCACTGGTAATCTTGAAAACTGTGTATCTGGATCAGGGTGATCCAGTCCAATGTTGCTTTGAAAAACCGGCATAAAAGTAAGACGGATTACCTGATCCTGAATAGAAAAAAATGGGATTTACAAATCCGGATCATTTTGATCCAGATTAAATGTTTTGAACCACGGCCCCAGAGGATTGAAAGATTCTGAGGCTGATTTGCTTTTTGAGCTGGTCATTTTACAGGGGATTTCTAATGTTAGCATGCAGAAAACACACTGGGAACTTCTAGATCCTTGTCACCTCCAGGAGGACTGGCTTACTGACACGAAGGTCACAGAAATGATAGAGTTTAAATGGAGTGATTGAGATCTTGAACAAGATTT